GCGCCGTAGAAGATTTTGACATCGAACAACTGGCTGCGATCATCCAGGACATACCCAATCACGAGAGACACATTATCCTCTTCACCGGTGGCCCACCGTGCAAGGACTACTCCAACATTAAACAACACCAACCGGGCCGGGCCGGCTCACAGGGCAGCCTCTTCGACACCGCACTCTCCATCCGCGACGACATTCAGAACAGATGGCCACATCAATCGCTCACCCTGCTAGAGAATGTCGTGCCTCACCCCGAGGTACGCGACGACTTCGACCAGCTGTCCCACTCCATGGGCCTACGCCCAGTCCTGATCGACGCGGCCGACGGCCAAATCATCTCTCGTCCCAGAATCTGGTGGGCCTCGGTCGATTGGGAATCCTTGCCTGCCACATTGAGCAGGCATACACCTTGGCAACTCTCCCTCGACACTCAGCTGTTCCCACCGGTGCTCTTCAATCCCATTGCAGCCGAACTACAACCAGACTGTCACATCCGGGACTTCGACCCGCCGAGTGTCCTAACACACGGACAACTCTTCCACTGCCTTACCACCCAGGCCAGTACGGACGAAGGCCGCCCACCACCACGCAGCCAACAACTACCAGACGACACATGGCAACGGTGGCAAGCCGACCACAAACAATTCGCCCCGTGGCAATACCAACAGAAATACCTGGTCCGGAAACACGGACACGACTGGCAAGTCGCAACACCCGAGCACCGCGAAGCAATGATGGGATTCCCGCGCGGCTGGACGGGACCACACAACACCGACCGGACCAGGAACACCATGCTGGGGAACTCCTGGCATGTGCCCACAGCCATGTGGATCCTATTCCTTTTGCTACTACAGCCAGCCTTCGGAATTCCCCCGCCCACGCAGCGGGTACGTCGCGGATCCCTCGGAATGATGGTCGACCTCTGGCTTCACAACCCACGACCATGGGGACCACCTCCGAGAGCATCGGAAACGCTACATATGCCACAGAACGACTGGCAGGACCACTTGACCTGGGCCAAACACCACGCTACCTCGCTGCAACAGCCCCAGCACTGCGACCCGACCATTTTGTGGGCCATCGCAATGCAAAGGACCATACCACAACTGCCACAACTACAGCACAACGTGTTACTCGACATCGCGGACCTTCGCGATGACCTGACTACAGATACACTTGCATGGTTCGAACAGCTGCCCCCACATTGCCAGCGAGCCTATCGACAACCGAAGATGATCACTCAGGTACCACTCATGACACACTTGCTACATTTGCTTAACTACCCACAGGCACAACTCCTGCACGAGGAACTCTCTCTAGGCTTCGACCTCCTGGGGCCTCTGCGACCCGGAGTCAATTGGCACATTCGCCACGACCACAAATACCTGGACCCATGTGACCTTGTAGAACTCAGGTCATTCAACAAAGCCTACATCCAGCGCAAATTACAACAACACAAGATCGACGACCACTGGACTCTTATGGCCACCGAAATCGCGGGGGAAGTGGCCCAAGGACGTATGGCCGGCCCCTTCGAGGCACCGACTCATTGGACCTCTCGCACAGTACCCCTGCACCTTTTCCCCCACACCAGCCGGCTCCTTCCTATCCCACATCGCGATCCCATTGTGGCAGTCGCATTCAGCATACAACAGACCGGATCGGACGGAAAACCCAAAGTCCGGAGAGGAGAAGACTGGCGCCGCAGCGGCCACAACCAGACGTGCTCTATGCACGATCAACCCTACCATCACACACCCGACCACTACATCCAATGTGCGAGACAATATCACGACGACGCACACCCGCTACATGTGTGGGGACACGACCACGACGGCGCCTACCGTCAACTGCCCCTCGCACAACCGGAGGTAGCATACGTGCTACTCATCACACCCGACGGCCCAACTCTCTGGCACCACCACGTGCTCCTGTTCGGCTCCGCTGCCAGCGTCTGGGGCTACAACCGCTTCGGCGATGCACTCACAGCACTCGCCCGCGTACTAACACTCACACCTGCCCTGCACTACGTTGACGACTACGGGGCCATACAACCCAGTCACATCGCGACCAGTTCCTTCTCCTCATTCAGCAAGCTCAACTCACTACTTGGATTTCATGAAGACATCCAAGGAACAACCACCGGCGCCCTCTCACAAAATACAAGGGGTTTATGTCGACCTGTCGGCAACACACGCAACCCTTCGACCGTGCCCAGACCGAGTCCGTACACTGTCACACACCCTGTCTCAGTGTCTCGAACAGGGAGGTATGTCGAACGACACCGCCCGACGCACTGCCGGCAAGTGCAACTTTGTCACCGGACACCTGTTCGGTCGAGTAGGGCGATCGGCGTTAGCCGCCCTATACCACAAAGCACACAGCACTTCCGACCGGATCGACAAACCAACTCGAGCTGCCATTCTGTGCCTCCTGAATATCCTGCAACATAGCTCACCCCGCAGCGTCCCACTGTCCACCAGGCCCAGAGACCTTTCAATCATATACACCGACGCGTTCTGCCGGCAGGGCGAGACGGTCTGGCGTGTCAAGGACGCAGGGGATCAGGATTGTCTGCCACCCGATTGGTCGCACGACAACGGATGGGCAGCGGTGCTGTTCAGCCCACAGGCACAAAGGACCCGCGTGGTCTCGGGCGCACTACCCCCTAACTTACTCCAACAAGTGAGTACTGGCACCAACGCCATTTATTTCCTCGAGGCATGGGCCGCGTTGATCGCTCCTGTGATCTTTCGACCATGGATCACTGACACATACCTCCAGTTGTGCGACAACGAAGCGGCCAAACACGCCATCAGACGGGGAGTTGGGAAACACCAACCACTAAACTGCCTGCTCGGTGCACATTGGACATGGCACAACCGACAGCAATTGCAGTTGCATATTGCCCGTGTGCCCACACATGCTAATATAGCCGACCCCTTCAGTCGACATGACATGTCCCTTGCCTCGAAGCACCACTGGCAGATTCTGGAACCCCCCATGCACGCTCTACATAAACGGACGTGCAAAATCATTGGCGATATTGAGTTCGCCCATGCCGTCGGATTTGACGACATAAAGGAACTCCAACAGTTCCACAGGAATCATTCCTCCTGAACCCGACTTGACTTCCACGTCCCGTGAGAATCTTGTCCACAGTAAGGAGACTTGATCGATGTAAGGATGCCTTCAACGTGCCTTTTGTCTAGGTCGTTCGCCTTCGGCTTCACCTTCGACGGGAGTTGACCTACGACGGGAGAACGTCCACTCCCTCTTCGAAACTCTGCTGTACAACATTTTGGGTTTGCATGCACTTGCATTTGCTTACCTTTTATTTTGTTGTACTTTACTTTCGAGTCAGTGGTGTCTGAGAGACACGCACACCGACTCCAGAGATTGAAACAGATCGACCAACAGGTACGATCCCACCCACTTGAGGCAGTGCGGTGAAAATAAATCGACCGACGCTGGTTGCCGTCGTACTCTCTGGAGCGGTTTGTTGTTGCGGTTAACACTTGTGTTAAAAGTAACAACCGATAGCGGAAGGCATTTGAATCACACTCAGATTCGAACCTTGAGTGCCTGCAGGATGACACTGCTTGATTCATGCTCCGTTCGCCATTTTGGCGAATTAGCCAAATTTTTCTTTCCCACCCACCCTCACCAGTTTTCACTGCATGCCCTCAGTACCTGTCGGTCTGCATTTATAGCATCGAGTGAGAGGACGGGAGAACGTCCACTCCCTCTTCGAAACTCTGCTGTACAACATTTTGGGTTTGCATGCACTTGCATTTGCTTACCTTTTATTTTGTTGTACTTTACTTTCGAGTCAGTGGTGTCTGAGAGACACGCACACCGACTCCAGAGATTGAAACAGATCGACCAACAGGTACGATCCCACCCACTTGAGGCAGTGCGGTGAAAATAAATCGACCGACGCTGGTTGCCGTCGTACTCTCTGGAGCGGTTTGTTGTTATGGTCTTGGGCTAGGTTTGTAGGGTTGTAACTCCGTCGAGCGGCGCCAACGCAGCCGCGCAATAAACGCAATCGGCTTCGAATCAAAACGTCCTCAGAAGTGCCGGGCCCTGCGTGCTCCTTGTGACAACTCTTCTACTGGAAGCTGGGGTTTGGTGACATGTTTATTGGGAGTAGGACCCTGCTGCCCAAGAGACAGCGTGCCGTGCGCTTCCTCCGTGCAGGATGTTGGCGGGATTGCCAACTGCTTTTGAGGCTCTGATTGACAACCACTAATGGCTGCTCTCGGCCAGCGTATGTCAATGCCCTGTTATTAGTTGGCGCAGGATGCCGCGGGCTTGCAGGACGCTGCAGGCTCCTTGTAACAATGTCAGCTGTTGCTGAGGGGATGCCCTGATTGACGACTCCAACGAAAGCTGCCGCCAGCTCCTTCTCTGGTGGGTGGGCTGCTTTCCAACAGCGTATGTTAGCCATACGGCTGACGCAGGATGCCGAGGGCTCCTGGGGCGTGGGCTGAAGTGCAGGACGCCGCGGGCTCCTTATGACAATTGGCACGTGGCCCAGGGGCCGCAAGCTTCTTCTGGACATTTGGACGCGGATTTGGTGACATGTTTGCCAAGCAACAAGTTGACCGAATTGGGCTTGTGATGTACCATTGCTTGGTTTTGGGGGTTTTCTCCTTGTTTGTTTCTGGGGGGTGGGTGGGGTTGGGATGTGTTGGGGGGCTGGGGTTGCGTGCAATTGCTGCCAGGCGATTTGGAAGAGCGCTTGGTTCACACGCGTCAAAAGTCCACAAACTTTCTTGGGTTGTCCGGCTGTTGAAAGTGTGTGCCCGCATCCATTGAAAATTGCAATTCCTCCAGCGTGAGGCATCAATCCGCATGCAAAGCGGTTTCCCCGTGTTTTTTCTCCAAAGCTTTCCACACCTCTTGGGCGATCACATGGTCTCCCCGGCGCTGTATGTGTCGCCTGGTTTCTTGGATCTTCGGGCCCACGGGCTTTCCCGCCGCCAACGGCTCGCCAG